CCTTTATATATTAACTCATTTAAATATCCTCACGACCAGCCTATGAAATAGGTGCTATTAGAATCCCTACTTGAGAGATGAGGAAGTGAGGCCACAGAGCTGTGAACCTGGCCATCTAGCTCCACAGCTAGGGTTCAGAACCAGTGCTCTGTGTTGCCTCAAGAGCATTCCGAGGATGGAAGAACCCATCTGTGGCCTGAGTATCCCTCCCAAGCAATACGCCTCCAACAAACAAGCACAAGTTAGGAATTTTTTTCCTTTTTGTCTTTTTTACTGACCAGTAATGGGATCGCAACCCTCAGTGTCGCGCCCGTACCGGGGACCGGCAACGGGATCGCAAACCTCGGTGTTGCACCCGCTCTGCGCTCAGCCAGTGAGCGGGAACCGGTCTCCACATGGCATCTGAACCCTCGGCAGGAGCGCCGCCGCACTCCCAAGCGGCGCACTCTCCAGTGCACCACCGGGCCGGCCCAGGAATTTTTTTAAAAAAGAATGTGAAGGGTCCCATGGGAGGTGCCTCTCCTCAGCATTGTATTTCCAACTTCACGTTGGATGCATTTCCCTGGAAGGTGAGCTCTGCTTTTCAGAATCAGTTTTAGCAAGTCACCCCAGATTTTAATTTCCTTAAAAGGAAAGGTTACCCCTTGCAGCAATGGCATCCAAAATGCATTTCTTTCAAGTTCATTTCAGTATGATCATCATATCTGAATCCTTTGCAGACTTGCAAAAACTTAATTTGAACAAACTTTAAAAAACCCACAGACTTTATGTCTTTATTGGTCCTTTCTTTAGTAACATTTTCTCCTTTGTTACACAAACGGGCAGATCTCTAAAACTTGTTCTGGACGGAGTTAAGCCTAAAATGGATTAAAAACCAGCCAAGCTTTGATCTAAACAGTCCACTATCTCACTGCAGCTCCTACTCTAAAAGAACAAGAAAGAAGCTCGAGACTTAGGTTTTGGTGAATTTTAGTCAAAGCCTCACCAAAGTTGCTCCATGATGCTGTAGAGTTCAAAGCCACAGGGACAATTCTTAGATGATGGAAAGTTCTGCTGTGGCCCTGCTCCTCTCTGCTTGGAAATTTCTACTAATTCAGCAAAGGATGGTCCTGAGATAGGAGACTGCTAATGCATTAGAAAACAGAGCATGTACACGTATTATTTACTTTCTTTAAGCCCACCTCTCAGGAGGTTTATGTTAGCTGATCATTTACCAGCTTGTTATAAGTCAATTCCTAAAGAGGCAAAGAGTGAAGGGCAACAGAGAGGCTGCCTGAGTCAGAGGAAGGAGAGCAGCCCCTGTATGCTGATGGGGCGAAGATGTGAGTTGTGTAGTTGACACGTGGATAACACATCTTTTAACATTTTCCATGTGATTAAAAGAACTTTAGCTAAACCATTCACAAAGAATCAAAATCTCTTCTAGTTTACTTTTGGTGAAACAAATGACCAGACCAGCAGCACTGAGATTCATCAATGGGGGTTACAAGTGATCCCAACGTACAGGTGTTAGGTGACCTTCTGCATCTGCAAATAATACTCTGATCTTTCTCTGAAATCGATGTGATGCTAGAAACATGGAAATATGGGCTCGTGGTCACCTCAGATATTGCTAGGGAGATTTGCTAGAGCTGCTAACCACAGTGCTAGAAAAATCTCTTCACACTCACATCAACCGTATACAACAGCAGAAAAATGATTTCACTAAATACGATTCAAGAGCCATCTGATGTAGCCAGACAGGGAGAAAAGTAGCTTCTATAGTCTACAAATTTTACAAAACATTTACTTCAAAACACATATCACTCTCTTCAAAAGCTGTCATTATTTTTCCTCTACCTCATTCCTGAGCCATTTTAGGAATAATGGAAATATGGTTTAAGTGGAGAGAGGCTCACTTGGCCAGGGGTGCTCCAGTAAGAAGGCAGTGAGACTTTTCCCTGTGTGCTAACAGGCTATTCCTGCCTACTTGGCTCACTCCTCTGTTTTACCAAACGCCTGAATACTAAATTCTCCCTGCAAAGTTTTTTTAAAACCATGTGACACAAAAGACACATCTTCACATCATCATCATACTTTTAACTCTCTCTACATTCTAATCAACTCTTTTTTTCCCACCCGCAAGAGTAGGCATAAATATTGTATCAGCAGCATGTTTAAAAGATCAAGTCTGAGAACTTTCTTCCAGCAGAAAGCCTTACTCTCAAAATATTGCCTTTGAATGTATGTCTTCATGTTTCAAACACTTACTGAGTACCTACTGGGAGTGGTAAGAAACATAAAGATGTAAGACACAAAGGTCAAAAAATTTGCAACCTAGTAAGTCAGAGCAAGGTAAGATGTGACTATATCTGAGGAGAGGAGAGGGGCCAGGGCCAGGGCCAGGTCAGACACACCTGTGAAGCCCGTGAGAGGTGAGGGGACTGAAATCCAGCCCACTGCCGCACACCTGGAAAGGGCTGTGACCCACACCAGAGCTCAGGCCCCATCAACTGGCACGTGACATCCCAGGGTGCTGGAGCAGGCCCCATAACAATCTGAGAGACTAGAAAGATTAGGAGGAGAGGCCAGATCTTCTCCTCCTCAGTTTAAGGCCATGACTATTAAGAACAAAAGACACTCAACATGAAATAGGATGGTTAAAAAAGTCCCAACTCCCTTCAACTGTATTGAATCTGCAGTGATGAAAACATTTTAACACTTATATAAATGGTCAAGTCCCCTCTAGAGTGAATTAGGAGTTACCTTGGTGATCAACATAAGGCTTGAAGGCCTGAAGGATTTTTGGCACAGCCACCCCCATGTCAAGTTCCGTCAGAGTTAGCTCATTCATAAAGTAGGGGAGCTAGAGAAAAGAAGTAAACAATGAATGAGACACGTTAGTAACCTGCTAAAAATGCTGAGGTAAGTGAAAATTCAACATACTTCCAGAGGGGATGGTGGTTGAGATTTTGGGGACACATCATTTATTTAGCCAAAATGTGGTATGCATATGCCATGTACTAGGCATCATACTCCAAAAAGAGCCATGAATGAGTCTGGCCAGGTCCTTGCTCTCATGGGGTTTAAATTGGAGAGGTCGAAACAGATAAACAGACAAATAATATAATTTCAGAGAGTGATTCGTGCTACAAAGAACTCAAAGCACAGAATGGAACAGAGGGAGTGTGGGGCTGAGTGGGGGGTGGCTATGTTGGCTAAGGCAGCTTCTCGCAGGAGTGGCATTTGACCAAAGGCCTGCTTGCGGAGAAGAAGCCAGCCATGCTGGTTAGTTTATAATACCCGGAATTGGCTGAAGCATGGGGAAATGGACTTCTCTTAGACTACTAGTGGAGAGTAAGAAACCGCTACATTTCTGAGAGGCAAACTTTCCATATGTATTAAAATCCTTGAGAAAATCCTATCCTTTTGACTCTGTGCTGGACATTTCCAGTTTGCCCCCACCCTACCCCAACCCCTAACCCATACTCCACCCTTTACCCTACCCTCTACCCCGAGGCTGGTGTCTCTCACTCTCTGCTCCTGGCTGGGCTTTGCCAATGGTATACACCACCAGGCAGGGCACAAGGAAGTACATGGAGAAGGGTAATGTCAGGAATGTGTCCCTCCCTCTCTTGAAGGCCACAGCTCCTGTGAGACAGGCAGCCTTCTCCATACAGCTGCCCCACAAGGAAGTACATGGAGAAGGGTAATGTCAGGAATGTGTCCCTCCCTCTCTTGAAGGCCAGAGCTCCTGTGAGACAGGCAGCCTTCTCCATACAGCTGCCTTGAGTTCTGCAAACTGCTCCCTGCCTTGCCCCTGCAGGGAGTGGTAACTGTTCCCACTGCTGCTGGCCCTGGAGTGCTGCACTCTCCCTTCTGGTGTCTCCACATCTGCCCACACCTTTATAAATCTTCCCTTCATTAAACTCTCCCTCAGGTTACTCATCTGAGTGTGCCACCTGCTTCCTGCTGGGACCCGGATGAATACACACCCCAAATCAATCAGCAGGAATTTATTCTAACGGAAATAACACAAGAGTACTGGTATCATGCTTAGAAATTTCTATTTCATCTCAAGATTAGAGAATTAATTCATCAATATTTCCTCTGCATGGATTTGCGTAGGTATATGAGGGCTCTTCAAAGGGTTCATGGAAAAATTGAATTAAAAGATAATATAAATCCTTCCATGAACTTATTGAAGACCTCTTATATGTATTTTTATTTTTTTTATTTTATTCATTTATTTATTTATTTATTCATTTTTTCCTTTTTGTGGCCAGGGCGTGGTTCTGAGGGCTTTAAAAGAAAAGGAGAGTCTGTCTGTCTCTCTCTCTCTCTCTGCTCTCTCTGCTTCCACCATCTTGCAATGTGAGACCCGTGGGTCGCTGTCACCAACACCACATGGATTTTGGACTTCCCAGCCTCAGAAACTGTAAGCAATAAATTTAGTCTTCTTTAGAAATCACCCAGATCCAGGTATTTTGTTAAAAGCAACACAAAACAGACTAATACAGTGACAGCATGGTTCACGCTGGACGAGGAGGGCCACTGGTCTGTGGTGCCTTCCTCACTCCCCTCCAACTCCCACAGTCAGTACCTGGTTGGCCTGTAATGTGTCTGCTTCTGTGTCCATCTTTCCCCTGCCACAGTGAGCTCCTTGAGGGCAGTGCCTCAGCTGTATTCGTTTTTATATTCTAGCACCTAGCAGAACCTGGCACACTGGACACACTTGGCAAACGTTCACTGACACACTCCTGGGGAAAAAATGAATGCTGCAGGCTCTGAGAGCCTGGCTGGCCTGTGACACAAGTGTCCACATTGCCAATCACCTGGCAAGCTGGAGAGGCATGGATATCTAACTTGGCTGGACCTCTTCAGCTGTCTCACTGCAGAGAAACAAACTTAGGATTCAGCAGTCAGAGAACTTCATCTCTGATTTTTTGCAGGGGTTGAGGGGTTACTTTAAAGAGTTTATGATGCCTTTGATGAACAAAATGTTGAGTAGAGACAGCACTCAAATGTGCTTTTTTGAACTGACAGTTGATGCTTTGGCAGTGTCCTAAGTGGCACTGGCCTCTCTATCAACCTATAGAACACTACTTGGCCTAGAATGTAACCAAAATCTTGCCTACTTGCCACAGTCCTTTTTGTCTATTATTGTCATTCTAACGCTCAGCGCTCCAGGAGCATGCCAGGTTAGAGGGACTTCCAAGGACTAGCCAGGGAATAGCACCACCTCCAACAGTGTTTCTATGGGAACATGAGTCTGACACTGAGCTGCAGGAGTGAATATAGGGACAGCTGGAACATAACTGTCCCTCCTCTTCCCTGTCAAACCTTCCAGCATCCCATTAGGCCCTACCCAATAGTCCCCGCAAAGGCAGAGGAGGAACCTGAGACAGGACCTGAGACAAAGGAGGGGTCAGAGAAGGACTGGGCAGGGGTGGGTGGGCTCTACCTATCAGTAAGCAGAATGGGAAGGGGAGATCAGCAGGGCCTGGTTTCCTACTTACCCATCTGCCCAACCCCAAGATTCTAGAACATCTCTAACCAGCCCCTTCACACCCCCCTGCACCCCCCATACTCAAATCTCGGCTGTGCAGCAGTCTCCTTCCTACCCTGCAGGGGAAGGCAAGAAAAGGTCACTTCTCCTCCTATTCTTTCCAACCAAAAACTCTTCTTCCCACCCAAAGGGCACCACAGGGAGACAGGAACCCAGTGGCACATTCTTTACCCTCCTGAGTAAACCCAACTGGAGACTGGACATTCAGGTGTATGGGACAATCTCAGGTTGGTGAGTCATAAGTTAGAAGCTGTAGCAATAACAGCAGCATTTGCTGATATAGGCACAAGTGGCTCAGAACCACTGAGGGCCCCAGTGTGGTAGTGGAGCAGCTGCCAAGGCCAAGAGTGCATCTGCTGTGGAGGCAGAAACTCAGCTTATTCAAACCCATCACTGGGCACCAGATGCACATACAGGGCTGCTTTTTCATAACATTAACTATCATGTGCAAGGGTGACAGTCTGAGATAGCAGGGCAAGGCCAGCAGAGATCTCCATAGGTCAGGCCTTCAAGGGAAACCAGAATGGGGAGATCTATGTCACAGTGGGCAGCTCAGGCTGCTCCAGGCACTTCTCTGTTAACCAGTTAACAGAGTGTTATTCCAGTTAATCAGTGCTCACTCACTACTAGGTTTAAGGTTTTGCTCCTCCTAGGGTCCTTTGGATAGTTGGTGGTAGTAAGAGTTCTCTTGGCAGGGGTGGTGGCAGGTGAAAAAATGTGGCAGCAGCTCAGGTAGGGGGTGGAGGGCATGGCTGGCAACGGAGGGCACACAGCCCCCACCTCTTATTGGCACTGCTGGATCTGGGCCACATGTCTCCATTCAAACTTTTAGTACTTCTGACCTCAATAAACAACAGGATGTTTAAGTTTGTGAACTTCAAAAGCCTATGTGACTGGCAAAGGGAGATTTGAAAATAGAAGATTTGCCTCAAATTCCTCCAGGATGAGAGAGCCCACCATTCTCCACTAAGGCGGCAGAGGCTCCATGGACTTCCAGCTCCAGAGAGAAGGTGGCACGTGTCCTCTCAAGTCTGCATTGGAATGTTCGTTACAGGGAAGCAGAGTCCTGTCTAGAATGCAAGCACAGCCTGCTTTCTTTTTTCACACTGCCAGGAACTGCAGTCCTCCTGCTTAAGCAAGCGCCCAAGAGTGTCTGGGAAAAGAGCAGGGCCAGCCCTACACATGTGCCTTGACCTAGGAACTCTAACCTTCTAGGTTGGCTGCACTATCTCCTCTCCCAACACAGAGGGCTGCTGCTTGCTGTTTCCCCATGGAAAGCAGAGGTACATTCAACCCTCAATCTACAAGGACACAAATAGGCAGACACTTGTCAACAGAGCCCTGCCCCAAATTCTGCCTCGAAATCTACTCTTGCAGCCCAGAAGGCAGCCCCTCCTCTTTACGGGGGCTGGGGAAGGGATGACACTGGCCCATGGACAGCAGAGCTTGCCAGACTAAGCCAGAAAAAGCTCGGTTCTTTACCCAAAGGAATGACAGAAATCCAATGAAAACTCCTCCATGTCCTTCTGATCTAATTTTACCTTAGCTCACAGTTTCTTAATGTGCAGCTCTTTAACTCTCTGAAATTGTGGGCAAATTTTGTATCAGTGTGCATATTTCTAGGGAAAGGATCCATAGGTATCTGTTTCTGAAAAATATTTATGATCCAAAAAAATTGAGAGGCACTGACTTAAGCTACTGACCATGTAAGTACTCAGTGAAGACTTGGGGACCAAAATGACTCCTCCTCCTGGGTCTTCATTGGGTCAGAAACACATTTCTAAGAAACCTCAATAAAGTCTCTTGGTCATTTAATGACAGTCTTGAGGAATACTTTTACAATTTAAACTCACTTCCAAGTGGGCCTGGATTAGCACCAGGAGTGTTTCTTCAGCAAAGAGACAGCCCAAAATAAAGTACCATCTGGCTAAAAGTAAAGGTCAAATGCAGACACATTTGGAGCGCAATGCTAACTTTTGCAGCTTTGAGAGGGAGAATGGCTTCAGAAAGGGGTCTGAAGCAGCCGTCGTATTTTCCTGACTGTATACTGTGTGGTCTAGACCACTGTGAGGCTGCACAGGCGCTGGACATGCAATTTAAGTGCACTTCTAACTTAAAAGACAAAAGAAACATACAAGACAAATCAGTTACAACAGCTCACATTTTCCCAAACCAAATTCTGGATTATCACCTAGAGTGGATAACAATGATGGCAACACAAGAAAAAAGTAAACAGAAATGTTCGCCAAGGCCCCAGATGCAGTTAGTCACAAGATCAAGATCAGTCTGCGATCAAGGTCACATGTGTTGTTTGAGAAGAACTTACTACCTTCATATATTCTATGAGGAAATCAAATTACTTTTCACCAAGGACATAAGGGTAAAAACTTCCAGAAATCAAGTATGGAGAATTAGCAGCCTCTTATGTGGAAAACAATACCTTTATTTTGCTGAGTTTCATTTGGATCTTTTTAGACACTAGATCCGACCAGTATTTCTCTCCTAAGAAGTCCCAAAATATTCTTCCAAGCAAGGCATTCACCCAGGCTTCCTGTTCTTCTTCCTCAGAGGGTAGAGTCTCTGGCAACTGGCAAAAGAAAAAGGACCAAAATTAGCTAGAAAGCAACTGGAGGATAAGACAGGTGCTAATTTATATAAAGTTACTAAAGGTCTCTCCCTATAGAAACGGGAGACCATGCGAGTCATACTGCTTCCAGATAAATTACAAGTCCCACATTACGTTGGCAAATAGAAAAAGGGAGAAAGAAAAGCTGCCCTCACAGCTAAAACCTCCTCTTTGTCTATTTTCTTTTTCTAGCAGTCTTCCTGTGAACCAGCTAATATTTCAAACAAATTACTTTGCCCCCCAAATTAGTTTGGTATCAACATTCCAAATCAACGACATATCTGATCAAATGTCTGCCTATCTTTTTTCCAGCTAAGGTGTGGACACGTTAATTGTCAAGCTGATTTTCATCCAGGCAGAATCCATGGTTTCCCAATGTCCAGGACTCTTAGCTTCAGCCCGATCCTTGCAAGGTCAAGATACTCTTGGGGTACTTAGAAATACTGACACCCAGGCCCTACCCCCAGAGACACTGATTTAAGTGGGCATCAGGAGTTTCAGATGCTCCCTTGGTAATGTAATGAACAGGTAAGGTTAAGAACCATAGGCCCAGATTAGAGAGAGCTGCTCTCAGGGCTTCTGTGAAACTTCTACAGCTGTTCTTGCCAATCTCAGCCCAGCGACATACCCTGAGCCCCACTTCCATTTGATGCAATATACCTGAAACATCTTTTGCAGCCAATGTGTGAGGTGGGAGAAGAGCAAACCCGTATCTCCAATTTCCTAGGGTAATTATTAGACTGAGGACTCTGGCCTGGGGAGGGTCCGGGATGGGGATAAAAAGGGGAAAGTAGCAGCAACATCCATGGAGGGTGTTGGGCACAGTGGTTAGTGCAGGTAATGGGCTGAGAAATCAGTACTGCAGCAGCTGCCATTACTGTCACTGTCCATACACCATGTGCAAGGCACCATGACAGACTCCTCAGGCTGCTTCATCCACGCCTCACAATACCCCAGAAAGACAGGAACTGTACTTCTATTTCAGGGACGAGAGGCCCCTAGATCTTGAGCACAGCCTGACTCAGAGCCTTGTTCTCTCCATTCTCTACTTGCTCTGACGTGTGTGTGCGAGTGTGTGCGTGCCCACAAGGTGTAACTGGCTACCTAGTATATAAACATTTTCCTATGCTGAGATCCAGCCTGACTCAGAGCCTTGTTCTCTCCATTCTCTACTTGCTCTGACGTGTGTGTGCGAGTGCGTGCGTGCCCACAAGGTGTAACTGGCTACCTAGTATATAAACATTTTCCTATGCTGAGATCGGTAATTAGATTATAACCTTATGGAAACAGGAGCTTTGGAAAGAAAACATCAAAAGATCTAGAAAATTCAGTAATCTGTAAATTATTCATCTCTTTCTCTCGCTCTGTGGTTGACATTAATACATCTGTCCTGACTGTAGCCGTAACACACACGTGGTACAGCCATATACCAGACACTCTTATCTATATGCTTTGCACTTGTGCATTCACTCTGGGGCAGTTGTGACCGTGCCCACATCACAGTTAAGGGCCCACGCAGTGGCAGAGTACACAGGTTGCTTGGTGCTCATGGACTTGACACTTGAAGGTCGGATTGCTTGGGAGCACCCTCAAGGTCTATGAGCATGTGGCCACATGCAATTGTTCTGGAGCCTGGAGCTCTGAGGGCCTGGCCCCGGTGAACCAGCTGCTGAGCTGTGCGTGAGCCCAAAGGGCTACTCAGCCCACACCTGTCCCTGAGTCTTGTCACAGCTTGTGCCATCTCTCACTTTGGAAGCCTGGGGTTATTTTTCAATCACATGTTACCGCATGTGAGGGAAACATCTCATGTTCTAGAAGTCCCTCAAATTTGGGTGTCTGAATGTGGATGAGTCTCATTTTTAAAAAATTAAACCTTGGTTTAAAAAAGAACACATTAAGGGCCGGCCTGGTGGCGCACTGGAGAGTGCGCCGCTTGAGAGCGCGGCGGCGCTCCTGCCGAGGGTTCGGATCCCATGTGGAGACCGGTTCCCGCTCACTGGCTGAGCACGGTGCGGGCAGGGTTGCGATCCCGTTGCCGGTCCCCGGTACGGGCGCGACACCAAGGGTTGCAATCTCGTTACCAGTCAGTAAAAAAAGACAAAAAGGAAAAAAAAAAAGAACACATTAAAAAAAAAGAATACATTAAAAAAAAAAAGAAAAAAATGTGTTTGTTATTCCATTTCAGAAGACATGGATCTACTTCACTCTTTTTAATGGCTATAGAGAATGCTATCTGTGCTTTTCTAGTGCAATGATGTCTTCTGCCACAAACCAAGACATTCCCTACCACCAGGTCCTGGACAGAAGAGCAGAAGTCAGCATCAGAGAGTGCTCAGTCGTACCACAACTTGTCTTTTTAAATCACTTTTTTCGCTGCCTGAACATCTCTCCACTAAACCCCAAGGGTAACTGGCCCAGCTTTTCTGAGGTTACTGTCTTCGAGTCCGATCAGATTATCTACACAGATTTCTGAGTAAACAGTCACCCAAGGATAATGTCCACCAGGCTACTCAGGCGATATTAAGTTGGGCACTACACAGTTTTGTAGGCTCTCAGATTTGTAGGCTACATAAGAGAATAGGTTACTTTTTCTCTTCTCAAGAGGGAGAGTCTATCTTTTATTAGCCTTTCTTTACAACCCTAATTATTCACAGGAAACAAGTTTAGGACAAAATAGCAAGAAACAAAGGGTATTTCATGACATATGTCCAAGCCAATGGCATATCATATGGTGAACAAATTTCTGAAATAACTGACAAGCAGGTTGTTTTTCTTTTCAACACTTCCTGTTTCTAATGCAAGCTTCTCTCCATAGACTCACTGGGAACAAAGAAAAATCCAAGAGCTGCAGAACACTGACAATGCATCAAAGAAGCTTTATGAACAAAATCTGGATTCAACAGGCTGCCAGGAAGATCTCATTTAAATGTAAGAGCTTAAAAAATAACTGTGCATATGTTTCCTAATATTGCCGTTTGGCTGCAGGAAGAAATGAGAAGAGAATATTCATTTCACCACTTCCACTACATGCACACATTTAGAAATAGGAACTTCCAATTTTCTGGGGGAGAAGGCCCATGACTGCTGATCCCATTTTGTTCTAAAGATGCTTCCAAAAAAAGCTTTACCTTCTTCCCAGCCGTGGGGCTGCTCTCCGCACTCTGCACGGGACTCCTCTGGGGGCTTCGGTTTTCCTGGGGGACACACCTCCCCATGTACACGCTATAGTCTAGAAGCATCTTCTGCCGCACACTGCCCACCAGCTCCTTCTGCTTGGGCTGGGACATGATCTCCTCCACGCTCCCTTTGCTGCTGCTGCGGCTGTGGGTCAGGTGCCCTGAGGGACTGCTGTGTCTGCTGTGTGCAGGCAAAAGTCCTGGAGCAAAGAAGTGACGGCTCTTAGTACAAATGAAGAAAATAAGAGCAAGGCAAACAGACTCAGAAGAACAAATGCCACTGGATTAAATAGATAAGCATCTAAAATGCTATCAAATGACTGTTTAAAAAATATTTACAAGGTTATTTCCCACCCTGAAAAACACCTTAGCTCTAATGATGGGTAGTTTTTTAGAACAGTTTTTATTCCTCTCCAAGATAATTCGGAGTAATGGGAGCAGTTAAATACATTTTGTAGGTATCTTTCTCTTTTTCCTGGTGATCTTTTAGGGTCAAATATGGGACTGACACACCCCAAATCACTGGGGCAAATGGAAAACGGGCAGAAAACTAATTAATTGTTCATACAGCACACAGTAATTCCAAAGACTCCACTTTTCACTCAACAAATTATTCATCAAGCTCTTTCTCTGGGCCAATTCCACACTAAAAAGAAGAATAAGACATAATCCCTGCCCTTGAACTCAGACACCAAGGCTAATAAGTCACAGTCTTCTGTAAAAATGTCATAACTGCAGCACGACTAAAGGACTCTCAGGGCAGAAAGGAAGGGGGTGACTACCTCTGCCCAAGACAGCCGAAGAGGCACATACCTCCAGCACCAACTTTCACAGCAGCGACATCTGGGCTGTACCTGGAGGGAACTGTTACCATTTTCCTGGCTCAAGTGGGGGAAGAGCATTCTGGAATATGTAGAGGGAACAGCATATGCAAAAAGCAGTGGACAGGGCACAGTGGGTTTGGAGCCCAGTGAGAGATTCGGTGAAGTTCCATGCAGAGTACATGGAGAGGAGAGACAGAAAATGAGGATGGTGAAATTAGCCAGGAACAGACTTCAAAGTGCGTGGAAAGCAACCCTGGATTTAAAGTTTACCCTGTTGTACTAGAGAGTTTTAAAACGAGCATGGGAATTGCCTGATGCTAACATTTTTATACTTAATCTGAGAGCTAGGTGAAGGGTAGAGTGGTTAAAATCCTATGGATTCATTTTATTTTTCAGAGGCTCCAGCCATCTGATTTGCAACTCCCCACAGCCTCACAAAGGGTCATGCAAGACAAACCTTAATTTAAATTTTAGCTAGATAATTTCCAGCACTATTTGAGTTTTACACTGCATAACTACAAAAATAAATTTTATTTTATTTTATTTTTTTGTCTTTTGTCTTTTTCCGTGTCCGGCAACGGATCGCAACCCTCAGTGTTGCCCCTGTACCGGACCAGGGACCGGCAACGGGATCGCAACCCTCGGCGCTGCCCCCGCGCCTCGCTCAGCTAGTGAGCGGGAACCGGTCCGTATGTGGGATCCGAACCCTCGGGCGGGAGCGCCACCGCGCTTCCCAAGCGGCGCACTTATCCAGTGCGCCACCGGGCCGGCCCCATAAATTTTATTTTATAGTGCGCCACCGGGCTGGCCCATAAAATATTTTTAGAATCCTTTATTATCCTCATTCCATTTTAAGTTTAGCATTATTTTAAAATGGTGGGACACTGACATTTAGAAGCTATACCAAAAACATTTTAAAAAATAGATAAAAATCTAAAGGCACTACAGTATCCTGGATTGGATCTTGGAAGAGAAAAAGGACATCTGTAAAAAACTCAGTGAAATCCAAATAAAGTCTAGAGTTTAGTTAGTAGTTAAAAAAAAAAAAGAGAGAAAAGAAAAAGAAAAGGTGAAAATAAATAGGGCAGCAGGACACCAACATTTCAAACCAAATTGATCCCATTACAACTCATCCAAGAAGGGCCCCTCCTCCTGGTGATATAGGGGAAGAAAGAAAGCCCCACTCTGTGGCTTGGCTGGGGTGCACAGCCCACAGAACAGCCTTCTCATGCTATTGTCACCCTGCCCTTCAGGGGGAGAAAGCACAGGAGTTGTCACTGCTCTGTGCACCTCAAGCCTGTTCTGTGCCTCTCAAGACCCTTCTTGTTCAGAGATTATGCTAGAATTCTGCCAAGCGACCACTAGGCTCTCCTGCCTTCTCCAGACTCTTGCTTCTCCTGGAGCTGTTTCCTGACCTGCAGCCTGGGCACTGCTGCCTGGAGATGCAAAATCACAGCCCCACCCCTAGCCTCCTGAGTCATAGCCTCCCTGTGTAAGGAATACCCCCTCGAACATTCAGGTTTGAGAAGCATGATGCAGGTTGCTAGAAAAATCCATGATTTTGGTGACAGCATCCCTGAGGGAGAGGACACGCCAGGGAGTCAAGCAGGAGGACTTCTATTTTCTTGGCACTGGCAGATGTACCTGGTCTTGGAGAATAGGCACCAGTCACATCCTCATGCTGATGACAAGCCACCCATGCACAGTCACTGGTTTCAGAGATGGTTTTGAAGAACAGCACAGTCCTCACCAATTTACCTTTGCCCTTGCTACTAGTTTAATTACACTTTTGGTGGCTTAAACTTCCCATAAATATCTCAGTTACAGCTTCGAAAGGCAATCCAGACTAATATAGGTCTAAAAAGACATTAGTGGTGTGAGAATGCAGCCATGCTTGATTTTGGTACCAGCGAGCGTACTGCCAGTTTTCCCACATCTCTGACTTCTACTATTAGGTTTGTTGTGCGGAGAATGGAAGTCTGGGAACTTTTGGCAGGATTTCCAAACATATAAATTCATTGAAAATAATCAAATGCTTTGGTTGAGTCCATAAATAACATGCTGCTTTCGAGGCTGCTCAAGTGGCTCCTTAGCACCTAAGGTGGTGTTTCCTGGGGATCCTACAGACCCCTGTGAGTTACCTCATCCTGAGCTTCAGTGCCTACACCAGTAGACCATTTCCAATGGAAATATAATGTGAGCCACATAATACAATTTTCAATTTTCTAGTAATCACATTAAAAAGGTAAAAAGAAACAGATGAAATTATTTGAATATATTGCTTTTAACCCAATATATCTAAAATATTATCATTTCAACATGTATCCAATATAAAATTAATGAGGTATTTTACATTCTTTTGGACTTTGGAATCCATTGTGCATCTTATACTTAGAGCATAATCTCCATTTGGACTAGCCACATTTCAAGTGTTCAAAAGCCACAAGGCTACTGTACTGGACAGCATAGGCTTAGACCTCCCAGGAGAGCTAAGCAGAGGCTGGTGCTGAGGAGTTCTCACCCACTTGAATTTTCTTTTACCTAGTGTTCAGGGTTGAATGGTCTCCTCCACCAAAATATTTTGAAGTCCTAATCCCAGCACCTCAAAATGTGACCTTATTTGGAAACAGGGTTGCTACAGATGTAATTCATTAAAATGAGATGATACTAGAAGTAGGGTGGGCTCTTACTGCAGTATGACTAATGTCCTCATAAGAGACACCAACAGAGTCAATGCCATGTGATGATAGAGACAGAGTTTGGAGTGATGCAGCTGCAACCCAAGGTCGGATGACCACCACCAAAAGCCAGAAAGAAGCAAGGAAGGATTCTATGCAGAGTCTCAGAGGCAACGTGGCCCTGCTGATACCTTGATTTCAGATTTCTAGCCTCCATTACTGTGAGAGAATAAATTTCTGTTGTTTTAAGCCACCCAGTTCATGGTATTTTGTCCTGGCAGCCCTAGGAAATGAATATATCCAGTCATCTCCTTATTCATCTTGATTTTAAGTGCTTTAGGTATTTCTTTTTTTTTTTTCCGTTTTGTCTTTTTTCGTGTCCAGCAACGGAT